GGGGGGGGGGGGGGGGAGAGAGAGAGAGAGAGAGAGAGAGAGTGCTGTGCGGGTCGGAAGGATGAGCGGGATGGAAGGCGGAAATTAAAATCTCGGCGCAAGAAATGCGATTACGATCGGGGACGGGCGGGTGTCCGCGGAATGACGCGCCCTGCGAGGGCGGCAACCCCTGGCCGCACAGCGAAAGTTCACTTGGCCCCTTCTCTGTCCATTCCAACCAGAAATAGAAATTTCTGCTAAGACAGAGGACCCCAACATTTTTTTCACCGGCAAAGTTCGAAAGCTCATTACTAATAATAATATCTTAATTCGTGAGCCAATTCGTTTCTTTTTCTTTTTTTCTTTTTATTTTCGTATAATGAGGGAGGAAGGGAGGAAAGGAAGGGCGTCAACGGTGTTGGAAGAGCGTGGCTCGCAGAGTGCTGTTCCGCAAGACGGTTTAATCGTTCTCTATTCTTTTTTCTGCGTCGCGCGGTAAACTTCGCGGTAAGCAGCGGCATGCAACGACGGTCGGAAGTTTGCATACTCAACTTCTTAAAACTCTGATATCTCGCCAAAATTTCTTGTCTGAGAGTTCGCAAGTTATTCCGTCCGTTTCTTCGGTATAACCTCGCAATATGCCGCCTCATGGTGTAATACTTCGCTTTATGGCGTCCGTTGGATTATTGCGCGCGTCATTGTAGCGCGTGTAATCTGCATCAGATTATCTTGTAACAGAACATGTAAAAAATTGTAAATATAAGATAATTTTTAACTGTAACTTTAAAGTAACATCATTAATCTTTAAAGTAACTGTAACTTTAAGGCAACATCATTAATTAATCTTTAAAGTAACACTTGTAATCGATTAAACAAATTTGTAAGATATTCTGTGCACTCTTTTTTTGCTTTAACAATCAATAATTAGTTGTAAATTAACGTGACATACAATTCACCTTCTTAACCTATTTCTTCGCCTATTTCTATTCAAGTTAATTTATGACAAATTATTGATTATTAAAGCAAAAGAAGAATGCACAGATTTATTTAATCGATTGCAAGTGCCACTTTATAAATATATCTTTTTATTTCAACGTATTTCGCAAGAATTTTTAGCATGCATTTTCTCACTTCTGACGTCATTAAAAAGAGATAGACAATGCGAGGGCCAGGAGTCTAAAATAAAAATTTTGATTTAAGTAAAGTGTATTACTTTAAAGATGATTTTTACTGCGATATTTTTCGCGCGTCTATATTATATTAATAAGAAATGTAATTAGAGTATTTATAAATATATTATATTAATAAGAAATGTAATTAGAGTATTTATAAATATATTATATTAATAAGAAATGTAATTAGAGTATTTTCTGTTTCAGAAATTGGCACAAAATCGGGGTTGCATCGAGCCGTGGGCTATACCAGGAATCGTAAGTGTCCTTATTTAATTATTATACAATTATCGGTTTGTTTTTACACTCAGAGAAATTATCCGATAAAAAATTAACAAAGGGATATTTCCGGTCAAAGTACCAATGAATTTTTGTATCCGATTAGGAATCCTCCAATGAGAAATATCGATTCATAATTTTTTGATCAGTTTGATGAAATGCCATTATGATCGGATCTGATTAAATTTAATCGGACATCCTGATCGGAAAAGTTGACCGGAATTTGATTGGAAATATCCGTTAATTTTTTGTATCGAATAATTTTTCTCAGTGTAGTTTAAAACGAGAGTCCAACAAACATATCGCAGCGTGCGAATGGCATTATCAAGATACATTATTTTATTTTCCCGTTGTTAGTGTAACACAATCAATCCGCGATCGGCAATTTATTAGCTTTATCTTACTTACATTGAGTTCTTTAGAAAACACGTTGGGTCAGCGCAAACGGTTTCGTGTGCGCAACATCAGTATTATTTATAAAAATACAATCGACAAGACATCAACTAGACGTTCCCCCGACGATCTTACATCTTCAATTGGTATCTTCAGTCGAGTAATATCCAATTATTACCCCCAATATCGAGACTGGCGATCTTCCACAAGTAATTCTCTGATAGAGAAACGAGAAATCTCTCGAGTCACGACCCGACATTCGTATCGAAGGCACCGATATCCGCGACTCTCGCGGAATCGATTCCGAGATCACCGCACAGAGGCGAGTCGGAGGTCCCACGTTTGCGCGATGACGTCGCTGATGGATGCAACTCGCAACAGCAGAGGCCGGGCTTTGCGACGAGCTCGGCTGGTCGAGCTTGCGGCAGGCTCTCCGCAAGCTCGCGCGAAATTCATTAAAACATCGAACGACACACACTCTGGTCAGGAGACATTGTCCTCGTGTGTCGCCACGGCCAGCGTTACAGCCCGGCCGTGGTATCGATTATTGCGATAAACCACGTCTCGCACGCTGGACCGACCGCCGCTTCGCTTTGTCCGTCTCGCCCGGGCTCGCCTGGCGTTTTATCGCGGCTCGATAACACGTCGCCGTGCAGCTCCGCGTCCCTACGAACCGACATAATCACGCGGTCGTATAAATTTCGGCGTCTGATGCGAAGCGACACCGCGCAACGCAACGCAACGCCACGCTATGCTGTGCAACGCAACGCAACGTAACGTAAACGCGGGCGCGGGCTTCGATTGCAATTGAGGTTGCCGGATTTCAAAGCGGCTCCCTCGACTGTTCCCCCGTTCGACTGTATCGAGTGATGATTTGCCTTTGACTATGCACACGCATAGAACGGTATCGCCGTTCGCCCGCGCCCGGGGATGTTGTAATTCCGCGCTCGCATCCGTGACATTGAATCTGTGACGTTTTAGCGGGCCGAGGGAACACGCGTCCGATGACTGCTCGCGGGTCACGCTGAAAAGTTCAACACGCTGACTACCACGGGGGTCAAACCGGCTTTCGCCGCGTCTCATTGAAGCGCGCCTGAAGCGCGACTAATTGCACCTAACGGCTGAAATGTGTGCTCGACAGGCTAACAAAACCGGATATGCGCGTTAGGAAACGTATCTCTCGGGTGTGTGGCTCAGTTAATTCGGTGTCGGCAGAAAAATTGAGATTTATCTCTGAAAAAGTTGTGAATTCTCTCTAAGTAATATCCATCATTTTTTCGATGATCTCAAAAGTCACTGAAAATGACGGCTTAAATGATAAGGAGAACGCGCGATTTTACCATTCGGCCTGTTGTCGGATTTTATCTCGATGAAAACTGAACGTTTCCGAGTTGGTGAAGTTATTGATGCTTCTTTTGACGTTTTCAATTTCTCTCAAGTTGTGTCTGCCAGACACAGGATGAAGCTCTAGATCGAAACTGATGGTAATCTGAAGAGTTCTCTTTTTATTTTATCTCTCGATTCTAGAAAAATCATGCCATGTATGCCAATTCAATCATGTATGCCAATTTTTTCACAAAAAAAAAAGAATGCGCGTTTCCGCATTTTGGCTCCGTTTCGCTGCTGAACGGAAAATTTATGTTTTGGGAAGGGAATTGAACTTTCAGTCGGAGTATCACAGTGAAACAATCGAGTTCACGGCAAATCTGGGCGTTCAAATCTGCGTTGTATTTAGGAGAATCTTGAGAAGCTTCTATATGCGAGTCCTAAACGGGGGAAAAATATCCAGAATGCGCGTTAAGTAATTCAATCCACGTATTTCAGCCGCGTAATGCGTGCGTCATGTACGCGGTAATCGTGCGTCGCATTCCCTCGCCTCTTTGTAGGCGGCTAATGCGAGAGGCACGTCGATACCTCAGGACATTATAGCTGCAAAGCTCACACACAAAGCTGCCTCCGTGCGGCGCCGGTTGCGTGCGTGTTGCCGAATTTTGATAATCGATCTCGACTGACCGACCGACCAACCGACCACCCTGATATACGAACATCAGGGCGCTATTATATCAGCGAATTTCGCATTACGCGAATGTCCAGCCGTGATAGACCGACATGTTCCGACTAGAGCTGCCGCTATAAACCGGGTATCCGGATATCTGCTCTGTACTCGAGTATCATCTGCAAGTAACACAGTACATCGAGAAAATATCGTAGCAAAAATTGCAACAAAATTTCTACGACCTTGGGCCATACGAAGTAACGACCGAGATTACCGTGTATTTGTTTGAAAATGTTATTACGCACGTTTGGCCTTCCACCACAAAATTACTGTAATTACTTGAATTTCCTTTACATCGTATACCGGGTACACAGGATGTCTCAGACCTCCATGATCACATTTTGTGAAAACATAGAACGGATTGAGGTGAGCAAGAAAGTCCTATACTGTTTTGCGATATTCACAATAATAGTCGAGATATTAATTAAAGAAAATTGGTGAATGATCACGCGCGATATGATAGGTAAATAGTGGCGATATATGCTATTGTGTGCTTGTACATAAAGTCAAATTGAACAAAAAAGCCCTTTATCATCTCGCAAATAACCACGTAAATTTTTAATTATTAATGAAAGAAAATTGTTACATGATTGTGCACAAATTGTCTTTAATTAATATCTAAAAATCTATGTGGTCATTTGCAAAATGGTAGAGGACTTTTTTGTTCAGTTTGATCCAATGTATAAATACACAACGGCAGAGGGCGCCACTGCAGCTCAACTACCATATCATTCACAAATCTTCTAACCCTTTCGTGCCTTCGGCTTTCCCAGAAGAGATGCGTTTTATATGGAGACGGTTCTATAGGTTTTTGGAGATAGTTAATTTCAAATCAACTATCAAAAGTGAAATTCAAAATGGCGGATTCAAGATGGTGGTTATGAAATGCTGAAATATCGATATATTCAAAATAAAAGTTTGAATTACATTTTTTTTCTGAATATTAATTATAATTCGAATGTAAAAATTTCGAGTCAAGATAATATATTTCGGATAACTATTACAAGGTATTTCTGAGTACATTGTTGCCAGTATGCTAATATGTCCGCTAGAGTTGCGAAAAAACGACCGCCATAGTATACAATAGCACAGGTGAAAACACAAGATCTTTCTAATTGATAAAGCTGTCATGTACTGCTGTCAGGCTTTAAGTATATAATTAGCATTAATTCAATAAATTTTCGACATAATAAAAAGTTATTCTTCACTACTTAAAAGTTGGATTTTTAGCAAAGTTTAAATAACTATATTTTGTTGGAAACATAATATTTCAAAGTGTGCGATTGTTTGCACATGTAGCTTGAACCTTCATCTTTAAAACAAGTTAAGGTAGAAGTCGATAGGATTATTTGTTTAAAAGTTATAATGATTTTTGTAAGTGGGACATATATGTCCCAGAGGCACGAAAGGGTTAATTCATATCTTGAGATTTATTGCGAATATCGCAAAACGGCACAGAACTTTCTTGCTCACCTCAATCCGTTCTACGTTCTCACAAAGTGTGATCATGGAGGTCTGAGACACCCTGTAGATCGTCAGATTTACTATTTCTATAGTGATGTATAAGGGAGACCGGGACTAGATGTTAGATAGTTTAGAATTTCGAAGTTACAGCTTCTTAGGCAACTGACTGTTATGACTGACTGTATAAACATGATAACTTTCTTCTACGTATTAATGCCCGCCAACGACTCTGTGTATATTTTATTTCGTAATAACCAAAATACGAACATGCAGCCATCCTGTCCTGGTACCGAGTTCAGTTACTCAGCAGCGCAGGGTAAGAAGACCTCGTATAAAATATGTATGCTGATTAGTAGTTCCAGAGTCTCCGCGAGAGGTTTCCACAGCCCTCCTGCTGGCTCTTAATTATGGGTCAACTTCACCTCGTCCGCCCATATGTTCTATTTCAATCATTTTATAAATGAAAATTGCATTTATTACCAGAAACAGTATATCATACACTTGAAAGAAATTTCGTTCTAGCTAATTACACATCGCTTAATTTTATTCAGTCATGATGGAGAATATTAATGGAATATTTCGAGTGACTCGAAAATTTACCTTGCCATTGCCAAAACACTTTTTTTTCTATTTCTTAACATTATTCCGATTTTAATAAAACTCAGGGAAAAGTACTTAGTTCTCTGAAATGACCACATTTCGCGATTTTCCATCATTCCTCTCAAGATAAATATTAAAAAAGTAGACGAGCAACGTGCCTCGGAGGCCATACAGTCCCGGTCTCCTCTATACTACAATATGTCAGATAATAGTCCAGCTTTACAAAAAATATTATAGGAACAAATGTAATTTCGACCGAATTTACGAAATAACGAAATCTTGAGAAGCTCGGAAATTTATTCAGCTGTTCCTGAATCAAATTCTCCTCTTCTCTAACTGCAACATTTTTTTTTTAGTTTTAACGAAATTCAAGAAAGAAAGTAGTCCTTTAAGAAAAATACTAAAAAGAACATTCCTTCCCTCTTCCCTCTATTTCTTCCGCAATAAATAACGCGAAAGCAAATTT